TTTTTTTGAGATGGAGTTTTGCTTTGTTGCCCAGGCTGGAGTGCAGTGGTGGGATCTAAGCTCACTGCAACCTCTGCCTCTGGGTTCAAACGATTCTTCTGCCTCAGCCTCCCAAGTAGATGGGATTACAGGCGCGCGCCACCATGCCCTATTAATTTTTGTATTTTTAGTTTCACTATGTTGGTCAGGCTGGTCTCGAACACCCTACCTCAGGTGATACGCCTGCCTCAGCCTCCCATGATGCTGGAATTACAGGCATAAGACATCGTGCCCAGCAGTATTTTGGCTTTATTTCAGGGGGTTGTTTGATTGATTGATTTATATTATAATTACTTTTCTGAGAGACAGCGTTTTGCTTTGTTGCCCAGGCTGATGTCAAACTCCTATATTCAAGTGACCCTTTGACCTTGGCTTCCCAAAGTGCTGGGATTACAGGCATGAGCCACCACACCCAGACAGGATGGTTTTTATACGCTTGTTTTTGTTGCTGCAGCTATCGTTTGCAATAAAAATTATTGTATGCAATTTTGTTTTACATATGTATAAATGTATACCTCTAAGATAATTCTTCTTTTTTGTTGAGGTAGAGTCTTGCTCTGTTGCCCAGGCTAGAGTGCAGTGGGGTGATCTTGGCTCATTGCAACCTCTGCCTCCTAGGTTCAAGCGATTCTCCTACCTCAGGCTCCCAGGTAGTTGGAATTACTAGTGATCCCAGCTACTTGGGAGACTAAGGCAAGAGGATCACTTGAGCCTGGACCTTGTGTCGCCTGAGCAAGACAGCAAGACCCTGTCTTAGCAACAATTAAACAATTTTTATTTATTTTATTTTTTTATTTAGCCACCACTGCACCTGGCTAATTTCTGTATTTTTAGTAGAGATGGGGTTCACCATCCTGGCCAGGGCGGTCTCCAACTCCTGACCTTGTGATCCACATTGCCTTAGCCTCCCAAAGTGCTGGGATTACAGGCATGAGCCACCATGCCTGGCCACCTCTAAGATAAATTGTTAGGAGTAAAAGAGTGGATGAAATAACGTAAAATATCTTTATTAACAATTTCTTTTGGCCAGGCGCAGTGGCTCACTCCTGTAATCACAGCACTTTGGCAGGCCAAGGCAGGTGGATCATGAGGTCAGGAGGTTGAGACCAGCCTGACCAACATGGTAAAACCCCATCTCTACTAAAAATACAAAATTAGGCTGGGCGCAGTGCCTCATGCCTGTAATCCCAGCACTTTGGGAGGCTGAGGTGGGCAGATCACAAGGTCAAGAGGTTAAGACCATCCCAGCAACATGGTGAAACCCCGTCTCTCTCTCTCTTTTTTTTTTTTTTAATCTCCATGCACTTAGGGCATAGAAACCCCGTCTCTACTAATAAATACAAAAATTAGCTGGGCTTGGTGGCACATGCCTGTAGTCCCAGCTACTCGGGAGGCTGGGGCAGGAGAATTGCTTGAACTCAGGAGGTGGAGGTTGCAGTGAGCCAAGATCACGCCACTGTACTCCAGCCTGGCGACTGGCGACGGAGGAAGACTCATGTCAAAAAACAAAACAAAACAAAACAAAATTAGCCAGGCATGGTGGCATGCACCTGTAATCCTAGCTACTCAGGAGGCTGAGGCAGGAGAATTGCTTAAACATGGGAGGCAGAGGTTGCAGTGAGTTGAGACTGCGCCACTGCACTACAGCCTGGGTGATGGAGCAAGACTCCATCTCAAAAAAAAATGGAAAAATTTTTTACGTTGGGTGTGGTAGCTCACACTCATATTCCCAGAGCTTTGGGAGGCTGAGATGGGAGGATAGCTTGAGGCCAGGAGCTCAAGACCAGACTGAGCAACATAGTGAGACCCTGCCTCTACACAAAATAAAAAAATAAGATAAATAAAAATTGTTTAATTGTTTTTCAGACAGGGTCTTGCTATCTTGCTCAGGCTGCTCTCAAGGTCCAGGCTCAAGTGATCATCTTGCCTTAGCCTCCCAGGTAATTGGAATTACGACTACCAGTTGTACCAGTACGTGCCACTGTCCTGGCTCTAATAGTATGCTTTAAAGTTTTAATAATGTCTATTAAATGTTGATTTTATATACATATATATATATTCTTTTCTATACCTCTCACAGGGTTTAAATGTTGATTTTTTTTGAAATTAAGGCTCAGAAAGTTCTCACCTGAGGTCTCATAAAAGAGTGACAGGACTGGGACTCAGCTCTACAGACTTCCATATCTCATTCTACTCCACTACGTAACTTTCCTTTTTTTTTTTTTTCCAGATGGACTTTCACTCTTGTTGGCCAGGCTGGAATGCAACTGTGCGATCTTGGCTCACTGCAAACTCCGCCTCCTAGGTTCACGCAATTCTCCTGCCTCAGCCTCCTGAGTAGCTGAGATTACAGGCATGTACCACCACACCCAGCTAATTTTATATTTCTAGTAGAGATGAAGTTTCTCCATATTGGTCAGGCTGGTCTTGAAGTCCTCCTACCTCAGGTGATCCGCCCACCTCAGCCTCCCAAAGTGTTGGGATTACAGGTGTGAGCTATCACACCCAGCCACTTTTTTTTTTTTTTGAGACAGTCTCACTCTGTCACCCAGGCTGGAGTGCAGTGGCGCAATCTCGGCTCACTGCAACCTCTGCCTCCTGGGTTCAAGAGATTTTCCTGCCTCAGCCTCCCCAGTAGCTGAGATTACAGGCGCCTGCTGCCACGTCTGGCTAGCCACTTTTCTTGTTTTTTTTGAGATGGAGTTTTTGATCTGTTACCCAGCTGGAAGTGCAATGGTGCCATCTTGGCTCACTATAACCTCAGCCTCCTGGGTTCAAGTGATTCTCCTGCCTCAGCCTCCCCAAGTAGCTGGGATCACAGGCACCTGCTACCATGCCCAGCTAATTTTTGTATTTTTAGTAGAGTCAAGGTTTCACCATGTTGATCAGGCTGGTCTCCAACTCTTGACCTCAGGTGATATCCACTGCCTCAGCCTCCCGAAGTGCTGGGATTACAAGTGTGTGCCACTGTGCCCGGCCTACATAACTTTTCTACGCCTCCAAACAAAATGAAAATTCACACCTGCAAACTTACCCAGAAGCCAGCTATCTTTGTGCATACCGGCTTCGAACTGACTACTGAGGGAAGACTGCTGCAGCACAGCACAGTCCTGTAGGCTGCCAGGCCAGTTTGTCTCCACCGTCATTAGTGCCCCTCTGATGTCACACACCATCAGGCAGTTTAAAGAATGCAGGCCTTTCCGGTTCACATAGGAGAGGTCTTCAGCATTTGGTGCCTTGATGGCCACATGGATACAGTCAACCACCCCCATCACCCCTGGCATCCCTGCCAACCCATAGAATTCATCCTTGAGGGCCTGTATGGAGGCTTCATCAGCTGGAAAGCGAATGAACTGTGAGGCCCTTTCCACAAGTGCTTCGGTGACATTGGCAACACAACGACTCATAGATGCCTGACTGATTCCAATAGCATCTCCCATCCGAGTCTGGAAGGAACCTGAGGTATAAAAACCCAATGCTGCAAGGATCTGTGTTTCTGGGCTAATAGCCCTGGATCGCTGAGTAGGTCTAGAAAGATTCGCCCCCAAGAGCTCCACCAAGTAATAAATGAACTGTCGAGGAAACCCATACATGGACATCAAGTATTCATCAGTCACATCATCCAGCTTAAAACGGTCCAGTGTCCGGTGACCTCGGCCATACAGCAAAAGGTCACAGTCAAGCACTGTTATTGGTATTGCCATGGTAAATGTCAATGTTGTCTTTCTTCTCTGCTACTTTTTCTGAACGCTTTCCAATGAAGATGTTGGTGCAAGAAGCTAATTTTAAGAAAGTATCAGAATCCAACAGCTAACCACACTTAAATGGCTCTGCCATTTGTAATCTTCTCTCTGTAAAGGTTAAAAGAAAAAAACATTAGAAAAGACTTTAAAGTGACTCAAAGGCTGCAGCACCTCCTTTTCTGCAAATTTCCATTTTGTTGGAGCAAACGTATCGTACTTACAGTTCTAGATTTTTCTACTTTAACTCATGGCTGGACGAAAGGCTTGTTCTGATTTGAAGGATAATGGAAATTCAATCTTTGTGGTTCATTTAATGCCTGGCATTTCAACTGGGAACAGCCGAAGATTAATGGTGGTGATGACATAGTTATTCACAAGGTAAAGGAGGTTGGCTCCTAACTATACAGGCCAAGAAGCAGCTGACATATGTCATAACCACCTTAGGGAAGAACTGGTCACGGGTTTCATTATCCAAAGACTTCTGGTTCCACCCAATAAGTACAGGACAGATGTCGGGGTGATCAAACTAGTCTAACAAGAAAAGGGGCACAAAAAAACCCCAAAACAACAAAGTACACGACCCAGCCTTATGGACGTACACTGTGCTGTAACAAGAGGATTTCTCTCACTCCAAGAACTCCAAATCGTGAAGCTGAGGGCCGGGAAGTAGGGAAGACCAGATACTTTGGGAGTCGGGAGCGAAAAAGAGGCTGGCCGAACCAGGTTTGGGAAGCGACTCCGCCACTTTTAAAGGGCATCCTAAAAACGGATCTCAAAGTCTGATTGCGCAGGGCACTCAGTCAGCCCAGGCCCGTCACCCACCTCTCCGCGGCTGCCAGGTTACCATGCACACTCCCCACCCACCCAGCCAGAACGGGCCCTCCTCCGGAACCGGCAACCGCACACTGGCCGCCACGGCGCACAGCAGCGGCACCGCCCACTTCACGTCAGCATCCGCCCCACGCCGCGTCCTCACTGTTGCCGCCGCCGCGACCTGCGGTTCGTCTCCGCACATTCCACACGCGGCCCAAACGGTCACTCTCTCTTCTCAGACACCTCTTTTCAGTCTTTATTTATCCTGAGCAGCTTAGAAAGATTGGACAAGAAAGCTTACGTGGAAAGGAAATCAACTTTCCTGGAGATTTAGAGGACTAAAAGAATAAATAGGGCGTCCATGCTGTGCCGAAAGTGCGACTAAGGTTAGGCATCTGGATTTCCGCCGTAGCCCTCTTCCACCCCCTCGGCCTTTCCGAAGCGGATGAAAACAAACACTAACGATGGCGGCGCCGGGAAGCTACCGGCTGCTGGGCTAAAGGCAGGAGTGACCGCTTAACCAGTGAGGGAAGCCCTGAAGGGCGCCAGTCGACGCGAGTGCGACAACTCGCGGAGTCCTAGGAGCAAAACGTCCGGGGCCTGCGAGTCAGGACCCTTCTGAAGCCTTCGGTGTCTATCTGCGATCTGTGCCGTCACTGCAGCTGCGGAGCGCGAAACCCTCAGCCAGGTGGCGCGGCTGGCCGGCCCCAGGCCCCGGCCTCCGTAATGAGATCCCGGAGCTACTCTCTGTGCCGCAGCTTCGCAGGTACTAACTTTGAGGGGGGATACCCCAAGATCTCTCAGCGCCCCCGGATGGGAGGCTATGGATCTGCGGCCCGTTGGCTGCTACTTCGTGGAAGTGGAAGGGGATTAGCCGCGGTTCAATCCCCTGGGCCCCTGAGTTTTCTATGGGAAGTTGGGTTGCTGTTAGGCCCCATGGCCCCTGCTTGTTTGAGAAAGAATCCCCTCCACCCTGGAGCTTTCCTCTCTACTTTTTCAGCTCTTTGGGTTAGGTCGTCTGGCGTTTTGGAGGTAATTTGGGGGGCCATAACTCCGGGGTTAAGTGCCTATATGAGTGAGGTAGGGTTTCATTCAATGAAGATTTGTTGAGTGCCAAATATGTACTCCGCGTGTAGGTGAGGGTGACTGTTGACTAGTGAAAAAAGGGACCCAAGGTTCACGACTGTCTTCTTACTGGCAGTGGAACGACCAGTGGAAACCAGCGATCCATTCTCATTAAAGAGGGGTAAGTGGCTAAGCACCTTCTTGAGCTAATCACTAATTCATCTCAGTTTTCACTTTTCCAGTGAGTTCCCAGTTAGCCTGGTCAATTCAGCGTAGCATTTCACTTGTTGTATTTCTTCGTTGTCTGGCCATCCCACAGCCAAAACGAAAAAAGAGAGGGAGTTCGAGACGGGTTGATCACCGGAGGTCAGGAGTTCGAGACCAGCTTGGGTAACATGGTGAAACCCTGTCTCTACTAAAAATTCAAAAATTGGCCGGGCGTGGTGGTGGGCGCCTGTAATCCCAGCTACTCGGGAGGCTGAGGCAGGATAATTGCTTGAACCCGGGAGGCGGAGGTTGCAGTGAGCCGAGATTGCGCTGTTGCATGCCAACCTGGGCAAGAGCAAAACTCCGTCTAAAAAAAGAGAGAGAGAGAAATTATCTATTTTCTCATTACACTTAGTTTGAAAAACTCATTTCCTAAGGTGATAGAATTTATTGGACACGTTCAATGGGAGATGTATGATAATAAGAAACAATGGACTCTTCCTTTACACTAAGTTAGCTTCCAGATTTTGTGTGTTGTTTTATGAGTGTTTATCCTTTTTCTGTGTGGATGTAGTGGCTCCAGCTCAATTATAAGGTTTTTGTTGTTTCAACTCTCCATTTTTCAGCTCAGGAGAAGTCTTTTAATTTTTTGGTTTTTAAAATTTTATTAGTGTTAAAATGCGTGTGCTGAATCAAGAGAACCCCTAAACAGGCTTTGTGTGAGCAGTATGGCTGTTTATTCAGCTGGGTGCAGGCGGGCTGAGGCTGAAAAGGGCTTTAGCAAAGGGCAGTAGGATAGGAGTTGGTTTTATAGGTTTGGGGTGAGCAGTGGAAAGTTACAGTTTAGGGTGGGTTTTTTTGCAAGCTGGGAGGGGGTTGTAGATTTGCAAGCTGGGAAGGGGTCATAGGTTGTTGACCAAGGTCCATTACAGAGTCGAATGGCCTTATCAATTAGGGCTTGAATAAGGAACAATAGAGAATGTCTCAAAGTTAAGTAGGCACCACAGGGGTTGATCATTTATTCTTCTTCCAGTTACTTTAGATTTTCCAGGAACTCGTCTGGAGTGTTTGTGCAGGTCACAGAGGTTAACATAATGTCCATGGCAGTGTCAGTCAGCCTAAAAGACCTTACAATTAATATTATTACTGTTAGAGATAAGGTATTGCTCTGTCCCTCAGGCTGGAGTGCAGTTGCGCCTTCGTAGCTAACTTTAACCTCAAATACCTGGGCTCAGGGAATCCTCCCACCTCAGCCTTCCAAAGTGTTGGGATTACATATATAAGCCAGGGAGTTCAGCCCAGGAGCTTAATCTTGAAGGAAGTTTACTTGAACTTTAGGTCCAGAATATTCTAAAGTAACTTCTAACATGAGGTGTGGAGCTGAGTAAGGTGAATTTACATAAACCATTTTTCCTGCATGTATTTAGCAAGGAAAAGTGCATAGAGTTGCTTCCTATCAAATTGCGGAGACCAATAAAAACTGAAAATAGGCTAGACGCGGTGGTTCATGCCTGTAATCCCAGCACTTTGGGAGGCTGAGATGGGCGGATCACCTGGGATCAGGAGTTTGAGACCAGCCTGACCAACATGGAGAAACCCTGTCTCTACTAAAAATACAAAAATTAGCAGAATGTGGTGCCACATGCCTGTAATCCCAGTTACTTGGGAGGCTGAGGCGGGAGAATTGCAGAACCTTGGAGGCAGAGGTTGCGGTGAGTTGAGATCACGCCATTGGACTCCAGCCTGGGCAACAAGAGCAAAACTCTGTCTCAAAAAAAAAAAACAAAAACAAAAAAAACACGTACACAAAAATATCTGAAAATATTCTGTGACAGAATAGAGGAAGAATGCAAATAAGGCTGCCAGGGGGAATCAAACCTTTCTAAAGTTTGGTTTTAAAATCTGTAAAAGCATTTTAAAATTTCCAAAGGGATTTAAACATTATTTTTATGCCCTTGGAAGGTAGATTTCTTGCCCTCCCCCCCCCCCTTTTTTTTTTAAATGAAACAGAATTTCACTCTTGTGGCCCAGGCTGGAGTGCAATGACGCAGTCTTGGCTCACTGCAACCTCTGACTCCCAGGTCCAAGCGATTCTTCTTCCTCAGCATCCCGAGTACCTGGGATTAGAGGCATGTGCCACCAAGCCCAGCTAATTTTGTATGTTTCTCCATGTTGGTCAGGTTGGTCTCTCTACCTCAGGTGATCTGTCCCTCTTGGCCTCCCATAGTGCTGGGATTACAAGTTTGAGCCAAGGGGACTGGCTGATTTCTTGCTTTTAACTAAAGAGTAAATGTGGGCCAGTTTGTTAAAAATCCTCCCAAGAGGCTGGGTGGGGTGGCCATGCCCGGCCTGGCAATTAACATGCATGGCTGAACTTAATAGGGTCTTCTCAGTAAAAAGATAAATCAAGAATTCATAGGTCATAGCTTACAGAATCTTCCCATGGAGCAGAAAAATAAAATGAAAAGAAGTAATAACTTGGCTGGGCATGGTCGCTCAGGCCTGTAAGGGAGGCCGAAAGGTGGGCGGATCACAAGGTCAGGAGATCAAGACCATCCTGGCTAGCAAGGTGAAACCCTGTCTCTACTAAAAATACAAAAAATTAGCCAGGTATGGTGTCACACACCTGTTGTCCCAGCTACTGGGAAGGCTGAGGCAAGAGAATCACTTGAGCCCAAGAGGCGGAGGTTCCAGTGAGCCAACATTGTGCTACTGCACTCCAGCCTGGGTGACAGAGTGAGACTCTGTCTCAAAAAAAAAAAAAAAAAAAAAAGAGTAATAACAGTATGGCTGTTTTGGAAAATATTGCCTTCACTTTTGATTCATGCATGTGAAAGAAATAGTAAAGAAGTAGTTAAGAGGTGGCTCATAGCTGTAATCCTAGCACTTTGGGAGGCCAAGGCATGTGGATCATGAGGTCAGGAGATCGAGACCATTCTGGTGAATGTGGTGAAACCCAGTCTCTACTAAAATACAAAACAACAACAACAACAACAAAAACAGGCCGGGCGCGGTGGCTCACACCTGTAATCCCAGCACTTTGGGAGGCCAACGCGGGCGAATCACGAGGTCAAGAGATCAAGACCATCCTTGCCAACATAGTGAAACCCCGTCTCTACTAAAATACAAAACAACAACAACAACAACAAAAACAGGCCGGGCGCGGTGGCTCACACCTGTAATCCCAGCACTTTGGGAGGCCAACGCGGGCGAATCACGAGGTCAAGAGATCAAGACCATCCTTGCCAACATAGTGAAACCCCGTCTCTACTAAAATACAAAAATTAGCTGGGTGTGGTGGCATGCGCCTGTAGTCCCAGCTACTTCGGGAGGCTGAGGCAGGACAATTGCTTGGACCTGGGAGGCGGAGGTTGCAGTGAGCTGAGATCACACCACTGCACTCCAGCCTGGCACCTGGTGACAGAGCGAGACTGTCTCAAAAAAAAAAAAAAAAAAAAAAAAAAAAAAAAAAAAAAAAAAAAAAAAAAAAAAAAAAAAAAAAGAATCAAAAAACTAAAAAAAACAAAAAAAAAAAAAAAAAAACCACAAAGAAATGGTTAAGCATCATTTTATGTCCTTCCTTTCTTTTTTTTTCTTTTTTTTGAGATGGAGTCTTGTTGTGTTGCCCAGGAGTGCAGTGGTATGATCTCAGCTCACTATAACCTCTGTCTTCTGAGTTCAAGCAATTCTCCTGCCTCCTGAGAAGCTGGGACTAAAGGTACATGTCACCACTCCGGGCTAATTTTTGTATTTTTAGTAGAGACAGGGTTTCACCATGTTGGTCAGGCTGGTCTCAAACTCCTGACCTCGTGATCCACCCACCTTTGCCTCCCAAAGTGCTGGGATTACAGGTGTGAGCCACTGCACCTGGCCGGGAATGAGGTTTCTTTAGTTCTGATTCCCAGAAGCATGAGCCACAGTGCCTGGCCAACATTCTTTCTAATCTTTTTTTTTTTTTAACTTTGTTTTTATTTATTTATTTATTTATTTTAAGACAGAGTTTCACCATGTTGGTCAGGCTGGCCTTGAACTCCTGACCTCAGGTGATCCACCCACTTTGGCCTCCAAAGTGCTTGGATTACAGGCGTGAGCTACCGCGCCCGGCCTGTTTTTATTTATTTTCTAATTTTTTTTTTTTTTTTTCTTTTTTTTCCTTTGAGACTGAGTCTTACTTTGTTGTCTAGGGTGGGTGCAGTGGTAGGATCTCCTTTCACTGCACCTCCACCTCCCAGGTTAAAGTGATTCTCCTGCCTCAGCCTCTGGAGTAGCTAGGACTACAGGCACACACCACCACGGCTGGCTGATTTTTGTATTTTTAGTAGAAATGGGGTTTTACCATGTTGGCCAGCAGTTCTCAAACTCCTGGCCTCAAGTGATCAGCTCACCTCAGCCTCCCAGAGCACTGGGATTATGGGTGTGAACCACCACACCCTGGCGAATTCTTTCTAATCTTTAGGAGTTCTCCCCTACCTCCCAATTCCTTTTGTATGCCACGTAACTATTATGTCATTTGGAGAAAGATGACTTAGGAAATACTTATTGAAATATAGATGATAACCCTGTTTTATTTTGTTTTGAGACAGAGTCTCACTCTGTTTCCTAGGCTGGAGTGCAGTGGCTCGATCTCGGCTCACTATAATCTCTGCCTCCCAGGTTCAAGCGATTCTTTTTTTTTT